CTATAAATTTTAGTTTCTATTTTCACCAAGTTTCAGTGACTTAGTTCATTTATTTGTACATTTATTGAGATGCATTTGTTATTACAACCTAACGTGTCTGTGAAGGTTCTCAGTCATCCAGGTCATTGTAGTCAAAGGAGCTTGCAAAGAAAAGCGTCTGAATTTAATTAATTAACATTATAGGGTGGCTTCGGCTCAGGAGGTGAAGCAGGTCATCGGCATAAAAGATTGTTGGCAGTTTGTTTGGCAGGTCTGAGTTGTCCTTTGGCAAGATACTGAACCCAAAGTTGCTGCCGATGCATTCAACAGAGTGTGAAGGTGTGTAAATGTTAGGCTTATATAAATGCACTGGTGAATGAGACATGTTGTATAGCAGAAAAGCACTATATAAGAGCCAGTCCATTTTCATTAGCCTGAGGTTTTGGTTGGTGTTGGGAGAAAGATTAGGGTTTTTGATGCCAAGCAATTCATAACTTAATTACAATACTCACGCAACAGCCAATCTGAAACCCAACAACAGTGATAGTAAACTCTCATAACTTTGTTTATGATAAGATAGCGTTGCCTTGGTTAATACCAAATAAATGCATGTCATTTGGATTCAAAATGACATCATTAAAAGAAAAACACATTCATGAAACTCCTTTGCATGTGGGTGGCAGCGTCAGTCTTCCTTAAAGCTACAGCATACAGGAGTGTAATCTTTTAAGCGTTCTTCAGTTTATAGATTGACTTCTCAGTTCAACTTTGACCCACTGCACCTACATAGTTACAGTATGTGTGCACACTTTTTCTTTTTTTTTGTCAAGTTCTTCTGAGCTCTTCCTGCCCCGTAATTCCGATTGATATTCTGTGGAGTAGGTCCACTCTCCCTTTTCATAAATATGCATGAGAGCTGTCGAGCTTTGGTATTGAATTGGCTTGATCCCTGTGTGAGTCTGTGTTTTTTGGGTTGGTTTTTTTTGCTTCTGAATATATTGGGATAGGTGACATTCTGGGCTATGTTTGGTTATATATTAGAGAGCTGTGTTTGCCAGATGTGGTGTACTTTCTGTGTGTGAATGTGTATGTGTGCTTAAGGCCAGAGGTTCCAGAGCTGGGGTCACTTTCAGCCGCAGGGAAGCTGAAATGTCACGACTTGTTGCCTGCGGCTCTTGGGCTGCTGCTGCTGTTTGTGCCTGGTTGGCTCTTAATTTAGCGTGCCTGATGAGGGTGGAGAGTAGAGCACACATGGTGCAGAGAAGAGCTAAAGTTAAACGCCTGCAGTCATACTGCAAAGTGAGGGTAGTAGGTAAAACTGAGAGAGAAATCCCCCCCAATCTTTGTTTGTTAGATGAACTTTGTGCTTTAATGTTACACCGAGCAATCTGTTCATCTTTCAACCGCATTTCAGCCCAAGGTCCACTCTCCTTTGCCATTTCGGAAACACCAAAATTTAGAATTTGTTGCTGACCCAGTTTTAGTTTTAAACTCTGGGTATGTGTTATGGTCTATGCAAGAGAAAACTGAGACTTTTACAGTGCACAATTACTCTCTTGGGAGTATTTTTGCTGTGAGTTGTGAGTTGCTATGTACTGAGCAGGGTGATGGATACATTTCCTTCTCTACAGTTCAGAAAGTTCTGAGACTTTCAGATAGGGCGACACAGACACCTGTGTTCTGGTGCCTGATAGAGCCATATTTGGGTCGCATACTCATTTCCCTGGAATAGATAGTGATCCAGCCATATTTGCATTGGAGCCACTCTCCAACTACCTTTTCTGTTGCTATGTCTTCTCAAGTCTTATCTTCAGTAACACTTTGTCCAAAATATCATTCTTATCATTTTCATCCTTATCGTTAAACAAAAGTTTAGAAAAATCTTCCAACCTGCTTTTGGATAAAACCTCGTACACATAATGTGTTTTCTTTGAGTTTCCCCTTCCTTTGTTCAGGAAACTGAGCATCTGTGACCTGTGACTTCTCCCCCTGCAGCTACTTTGAGCTGGAAAGCAGCGGGGTGAGAGAGGAGATCCGCTATCACTACCGCTTCAAAGGCAAGCCACGTTCTGAATCCTTCCCCTACCGCCTCGCTGATGGCCAGTGGCACAAGATCGCCCTTACCATCAGTGCCTCCCACCTGCTTCTGCACGTTGACTGTAACAGGTAACACACACACACGTACCGCTCTCGAGCACCTTCACATCTCTGTCACAAGAGACTGTGCTGAGTAATTTTTCCCATGCTCCTTTGAAGTGACACGTCTAATGAGCTGCCTGTGTTTATCAGGGTAAATATTTGTTCAGTGTATTCTCCTTGTGGAGAGCAGGGTGTTAGCATGGCTGACAGTAAAACATTCAAGGACAGGCTCATGAAGAGAAAGGCTGTATACTGATATAACATCCTGTGTGTCTCTGTATAGGATGTGTCTTCAGCTCACATCGTTGTTTAATGAAGTGGAAGGTACCGATGATATAATCACCGCATTGATTGGCCAGTGAATACCCTTATCTAAAGAGAACACTCGAGGCTGATCTATAAACACGCACTTCAGTTGTGACAGTCTTTCTCAGCCCTCACACTCTCTCCTGAGACCCATGAAGGCATCACTTGTCCTTTTTTTAAATACAGTTGCTAGACAGAACAAGCAGGCTAAATTTGAGTGGAGGTAATGCTCTGTCACCACTTGAGGATGAAAGACAGTACGATGCACGTGAGGATTGCTCTCTAATATTGATTTTTCCCAGATGCCTATTATACCCATCAGGCTGGTAGTTTGTCAATTAATTATCACTGCAGTGGCTGTCTCTCTGATGATAGTCTTGTGAAGATGAAGGAGGGCATCAGAGTGTTATTGGATGGAAAAAGATCAAAACATAATTTGAATCAAAACGTTTTGCTTATGCTGTTATTTTGAGCAGGGCTGATGTAATTAATACAGTGAAATTGAATGGGTTGGTTTGGTGCTATTAGTCATTAGCTTGTGGCTGCGTGTGGTATAAAAGTGAAGCCTGATACTTAGCGTAACTGTCTGAGCAAGTGCCTGTGACTGTGTCTAAATCCTGCTCATTTTTACAGAGTCTAGTCACTAATGCTCTTTTACCCCTCAGCTGTGAAAGGCTGATGGGCATCCTGCCGGGGAGGCAGGTGGGCAGTGTGGACACCCAAGTTTGTGAATGTGATAACTCGAGAACAAGGTGATGTAGGATACTGAAATTCATAGCACAGGTGCATCTGCCAAACATCTTAAATGAGTAAAAAAAAAAAAAGGTCAAGGCCAGAGATCAAGTTTTCTGAGAATCTGATATATATATACATATATATATGTATATATATATATGTATATGTATGTACTTAATCAGGTCATTCAGCAATACAAACATTAACTTTGCACTGATCCCCTTTTTCTCATTTACCAAAACATGCAAGGAGTTTGAAGGCCTATATTTGGAACTGTAATGTCAAGGCAAGAAAGAGTGTGAATGTCAACATGCTTACCAAGCTACTTACTCCATGTGTCTGGGTCAGGTTCACCACCTCATCAGCAGACACTTTCAGCTCTTACCTTTGTTTGCTCATCTGAATTCAGTGTCATCTGCAGCAATGCCAGCTAAAGCCACCTGCCGCTCAGTTTTCAGAATGTCTTTAAAGTAGCAATCACAGCTCATGATGTCTTTCGTCTGAGCAACAACACCGCACTTTAGTCCGTTGTGATGCTCTAACAAGGGGATGTTTTTCCCAGCTGCCCCAAGTGTCACCACCAGCTCATCTCCCACCATAATCTCAGAATACACGGTGAAACCTAGTTGTGGCTCTATCAAAGTGTCAAACAACAAAAACAGAACAACTGTTAATTCGGCCTTTTCTACAATACGCTAAACTTGACTTTCATCTACAAGTGCAATTGCCTGTGCGTCTTTGGGGCAGATCATTTTAAATCACCAGTGCTGGGTAAATACAAGAAACCAAAAGGTTTATGCAATAAACAGTCTAACCAAAAACAAAAAAACTAATGATAACCCACAAAACCAAACTACTGTACATCTACTTTCATGTCACTGACTTTTATCTGTAACATTATTAGATATTTTTATCCGTAAGTGTGCATTGATAAAGCTTGAAATTGTATGTTTGGGGTTTTTTTTGATAAAAACTTTAGTATCAATGAATGACCAATCAGACAAAGCTGTCTATAAATCTAAACACTGTATTGATTTATATACAGGATAGTTTTCATCACAAAGGTACAGTTATATTTCATGTTTGTTTAGAATAATAATACAAATTAACTCAATGCCACACAAACTTAGACAAAGAATAATTGTCAGGAAGTAAATCTGGGTTGACAAAACAAGCGAAATAAAAATTGCATATTCATATCCATCCAAACTGAGCCTTTCATATTCTTCGTGTTAAGAATATTTACTTATTCAAACTAGCAGACCCATTAGCCCTGAATTTTTAAGAGTATAATTTCTGCACTAAACCACACTCTATTGATTTCAAGGCTCATTAAATGCTTTTAAGTGTCTGTAAATGGGAGATGGAGCAATTTATTGTCATATCCTCGGGTGGACTTAAACTTGTAGTGTTCTTTTGGCTTTTCCTTTATTGATGTCTATGTTACAGCCAAACACAAGATGTTGTTGGGTCTCATAGACTCATGTTTAACTGCAAAATCAGTAAGTCAACAAGGCTCAGAGTTACAGTACAAAGAGTAATGATATAAAAGAAATTATAAATAAAATATTAAAGACATAGTTTTATTTGGGGGGAAATACGCTGATTTGCTTTATTGGCAAGCATTAGACAAAAAATAAAAAAATCAATATCACCTTCATGTCTGCCAGTTGAATATGAAGCAGAAGACTTGATGTACCTTCTCTTTGGAGGTTACCAAAGGACATTCTAGGAAATTAATATCACCATCCCCAATGTCAAGTTTCATTCTCCTGCTTTTGCTCCGATGAATGGCTTTAAAATAATAATTTCAGTTGCAGTAATGTATTCAGACACAGTTTAAATGTCTTTGACCCACATCGCTCATCACCATAATAATTTTTTAAATGAACCTAATGTTCCCCTACGCATATTTTGGACATTGTTCAAGTTGGGAAATGAGACTTGTTCATAACTGCCCTGTTCTCTAGATACTGCTGTCCCTTCATGAAGTTTGACAGATCCATGTGAACAATATTTTTTTATGTGTTTCTGAACTCATTTCCATATCTTATACTTATAATTCCTCTGGTATTGCGCAGGGTAGCAGCTTCAGCATTTACATGTCATCTTATTTGACTTCTTTGTGCAGGTCCCTATGCCCAAACGGAGGGCTCACCTTGGGTTAGGATTTGGAATTACTCTGATGGTGGTTCAGAGTCCTGAAAATTCATGGAATTTTCCTTTCTTCCTCTGCTGTCCTTGTGTAAGATTGATTGAAAAAGAGGAAAATATTATTTGAAGAACATGTGGACTATACAAAGTGGGATGAAGCCTGTCAATAAACATAAGACGTTTACCAGGAAAAGTGCTGCATAATAAAGTTCTGATTATATATTATGGCACATTTGAAGTTATTAAACGTTATAGCCGTGTTACGGCCTCTGGCCTCAGGTGGCCCCGCCTTCCTGTATGGCAGACCTTCCCAAAGTGTGGGGCCCGCCCCCTAGGGGGGGCGCAGAGCCATGGCAGGGGGGGGCGCGGGATGAAAATTGGGGGAAAAAAACAAAACACTTGGACACTGCTAGCACGGGCGTCTACAGAATCATAAAGCAGGAGATGAAGCATCGCTGAATAGGTTTCCAAACCAACTTCATTCTAAGCCAAAGACTAGAAAATATGGTGAAGCATGTCTGCCCTTTGGTTTCATCTGCACAAGTGCCGAGGTAGGTCTCCCCTGCAGAATTGCTTTTCCCTGCGTCGGGAGCAGCGCCGGGCTGTTTAAATCACGGACAAAGAGTATCCCACATTCGTGATTTAGTTCACAAACACTTGTTGTAATGACTAACTACTCCTGACATTTTGGAGATGTTAGCTCTTTATACAGTAAAGTTACAGCGGGATACAAATAATATCAGGCTGATCCTCTGCCTTTCTAAATGGAGGGACAGTAACTGCGTGTAAAACGTGCAGATATTCAGATTAACAGTATTTTGTCTCTATCTGCCATTCTGCAATTCATCTCACATAAACAATAACGTGGCACACAGCGTGACGTGAAAAATGGTAAAATGGTAAATAGCCTGCATTTGTATAGCACTTTATTCAGTCTCTAAGGACCCCAAAGCGCTTTACACTTTACACTACATTCAGTCATTCACACACACATTCACACACTGGCAATGGCAAGCTACGTTGTAGCTGGCGCCACCGGGCCCTCTGACCACCACCAGTAGGCAAACATGGGGTTAGTATCTTGCCCAAGGATATTTGGCATGCAGCCAGGAGGCAGCGTGGGATCGAACCACTGATCTTCTGATTAGCGGCTGACCTGCTCTGCCACCTGAGCTACAGCCACCCCAAAAAAAGGCACATACCTTTGGCGTTGCGTGACGAACTCTGTATTCCTCGTCCACACGTAAACGCAAAAAAAGAGTTTTAAAAATCTCCGATTTCGGTGATTCGAAACGCAGTTTACGTGTGGACGAAACAGCTGCGTTTTCAAAAATACCCGTGTAGGTGTGGACGTAGCGTAGCGTAAAAGAGTTAGTAGTTTATTTTATTACTACCTGTAATTTATTGCAGATTACTTGTATTTGCTTAATTGTTTACTAAATGTTTGAGGTGAGAAATAAACCGCAATGGAGCAAAATATGGGTGTGTGTGGTTGGAGGATGTGTGTGTGCGTGTGCGCGTGCACGCGCGGATGGTGCGCAAAGATTTTTTCATTTAACCTTCCTGCCTCTGGACTCATTTATGTTACATCCCTTGTCGCCTAGCAGAGCAGGGTCGTAACATAAGTGGGGGCTCGTCCGGGATACTTATATGATATTTAAATGAATTCTAATGGTTATGATAATGTTAACCATAAAACACCTTGATGGCATAATAATTGAAATGATTCCAGTGTAATTACTGTTGAGAGTTCAGACTAATTTGACAATCACAAAGATAAAAAAAAATAGTGAAACTTAATATTAGTAATTTTAAGGAAAACATTGATATTA